TTTGTGTTTGTGAACCATGGGAATTGTGGTATTTTGAGATTATCAGACACTCAGTTTCAACAACCTGTGGAGCTGGTCCTAGAAAGTCTTAGCCCCTTTAAAGTCCTGTCCATTCTCATGAATTGAAAATAATAACACTCTCAAATGATCTAATACAACATACCAATTTGCCTCAAAGCTGAAGCAATTCTGAATTTGGCATACCTGAAGTCAACCGTACTCAAAGTTCTCTGGATTAATGAGAAAATTAATCAAAATATTACCTTTCTCCTATCTAAGGCCCAGAGCCAAATGATATGCCATTAGAAAAGGGGTTGGGGTGTATTCAGTTTGATCTAATTAGCAGTTTTGGCAAGAGGATTCCAATCCCTTCCTCTTTCAACAAGTCCTCAGTTTGAAATGTTTCCCATCCAAGATACTATTACAGTTACAACAAAACAATGCAGATTTGTTCAGAGAATTGTTTTGTTTTCTTTATCTCAGTATGTGTAACTCAAAATACTGCACAGTTTTTCACCAACAAGAGACTATTTGCAAAAAGATGACAAAGAGCCATTTAGCTGAAAGACAAGAGTAAGATTTTTAATATTCACACACTTCTCTTAACAACTCAGAAGAGAATAATATGTGCCACAGTAATCCAATAGTGCCCTCTTCCTTCCCTCCCCAAAATCTTTATGGTATTCCTCCACTCTATCTATTATAATTTCAGTATTCTGTAGAATATGATACACTTAATTTTAAGTTTTCTTTATAGTGAAAAGGAGCATTTTAAAATGGCCACAACATCCACGTTGTTTTTGTCAAAAGAGTAGGGCAGTAATGGGAAACGTAGTACCTATTTGCGACCTGTGAAAGTGAAAGAAATGCTGGAAATTACCAGGAAAATTCAAATACATGTTGATGTGGCCGATGACAACAAGCCTAGAGCTCAAGTAGTGGAATGACAAGGTGAAAACAAGACCAATATGTTCATAATGGGAAATATTTTATTTTATTTGAGGTTAGGGTTGTCAGTTTCTCTGCAGAGTAATAGGGCAGGCCTTTAAAAAGTTTCTCCAAGCATCACGAGGGGATGTTCTCTTATGAGATCTCAACACAGACTGACAGTTTCCAAAATCATAGGAATCCCCAAACCCATGAAAATCTTTCTGTAACAGATTAGCCATCGGAAAACTAGAATTTCACTCTGTTACTTGGTATAAGCCTAGATGAATGGACAGGAAAAACAATGTTCATTATATAAGACTTTAATGCTGGCAGGAATTAATATCAAATTTGGGGTGTCTTGTATCACTTCAGTATAGGACCATATCTTAAGCTTCCAGATATGAGATGTCCTGTACAAAACAGGATGCCTGAGAACCCAGTTTGAGGCAGTTCCAAAATGTGTTCCAATTGAGCCTCTAAGGAGCCGCTTTATAGGAATGCTACAGACATAATGAAAGTAGCAGGGACGAAGGTGGATAAATTGCCTTTTCCAGACCTGTTTGCTCAAGCCAGCTTGTTGGACTTTCAGAAGAGGATAGTTTGGTTTTCCTGTGTAAGAAGGGTCAAAGTGATAATCCACATTGTTTAGTTCAGAGTTGGGAAGACATGGTCTCCAGATTTATTTATTTATTTTGGACTGCACCTCCCAGCAGCTCTAACTGACATAGCCAATGGTGAAAAATTACAAGAACTGTTACTAACAACTTCTGGAGGCTGTTGCTACTCATCCCTGATTGTGGCTTCATCTACACCAGCTGGTTAATCTGGGGACAATTTGAAGCTCTATGCTACATAACTGGATCAACTGTAATGGCAGCCACCTGCATTGGGCTGAATCCTATGCAGCACCTTAGTGTTGTCCTGCCATTCTGAGACTATGCCAAGTCTGCTGGATTGTCCCCTTGTCATCCATGTCACTGCTACTCAACATCCAAGGAGCTTTCTGTGAGTGCCAGGCCACCACAGGTCATTCTGGAGTACCTTCACTATTGGAAAGGAGGGAGTTCCCCAGTTCGCAAGGTGTAGTGGCATTGATACAGGCAATCCATCCCCATCCCTGCTCTGATCAACAGAGAGAAAGGGTGATGGTGGCAGTGTCTGTGCAGACAGTTGATCAGGACAAAACAGACCTATTCTAGCTATTGAGAGATGGCTGCAAAGCTAGCAGATACTCTGGAGTTTCCTGTAAGCACTGGCTGCAAAGCTTGCAGATACTCTGGAGTTTCTTGCAAGCCCCAGAGTATCTCCCTACTTTGCTTAGTTTGGAGCAAATTTGGATTAAGGGCTAAAAATTCCAGATGCTTATGAGATGTATCGTGCATCATGAAGACTGCTAGATTGGGGTGAGTATAATGTTGGTTTTTTTTCATGTAGACATGGCCTTAAACAGAGTTGAAACTGCCGCTGGCATAAGCCTATTTACAGCACATCTCCTTGGAAATAAGCCTCATTTTATTGATGCTTTCTTCCAAGTGAGTACGCATAGGATTACAACCTTCATGAATTTATAGCAGACATAAGATTTGAGGCAAGGACTTCCTGATTAACACCTTGTTCTCCTAACCTCTAAAATAGCCTTGCTGTTTTATTTTTTTATTATTTCAAAGTGTGTGCATATGCAGTAAAACAGAATTTGACCGACCAGCTCCAGCGTTAAAGAAAAGTGAATGTAAATATAGCCTTTTTTCTGGAACAGGAAAATATCAACTTTTCCTTTTAAAAAAAACAAATACTCTTTATACATAATTCTTCTTTTCCTCTGAAATACTAGCATGGCATTGTAGGCTGAATTTAGCATGTGCTGTTTTTCATCCCATAATCAAACGTGGCCATGGTTAAATTACTAGAGGTCATGGTTAATCAGCTGGAACAGATACTTTAAAGAGACATTTTCACTCCTACATTAGCAGAAATGTGTGGCCTTGAACTGAAACATTATCCTCTGAAATCACCTACAGACTAACAAGATTTGTTCCCAATCTAAAGTAATGGCTTATTTTAAGAATATTTATTTTTTAAAAACATTTATATTATATTCATTTATAATACTTGTTCTATCACTCTTACAAAATGAAATACAAACATTTGGTTTTATTTTTCCTTCTGCTACGTTACAATTACTCATTCCAAACTTTTCTCCCCTCTAAGTGGAATAGTCCCAGGGGAAATTTAATTCTTTTTTTTTACCAGCCTAAGGTAAATCACTTATAATCCCTCAGCACTGACTGGAATTATTAGGAGTTGCATTCCAGTGACATCTGGAAGGCAGTACCCATCCCTGACATACATGATTAAGATTATTCCTTTTGATCACACTATGTCTCTTTATTTAACTCTTATAAAACTAACAAGTTAGCTATGTATACCCAGCATCCTAAGAAGTATAAAGGATGAGTACTTAATGATGATTTATTACCCTACCATATCTAGGTGATTTACAAATGTAAGAAGCAGAAGTCCTCCTTTACATAGTTGCTTTTATCATCAGGTTTTGACACATGAAGATTTTTACATTCATATAACAAAGTAGAATAAGTTGTGGAATACGTATCCTGTTTTGCTTCAGCTGCGATACCACTCTACCTAATATTATCTAGCAACTATGTTAGTGATATTATGTGGTTGAGCTATTTTACATAGTTTTTTGATGCATGGTAGTGTGTCCCCTCCAAATCACAGTTTGCAACAAAAGTAATTGTGTTTTCAGCTACCCTTGACCTCCTTCTGATCCTGGGGCATGTCTTATACTGTATGTGAAAAAGTTGAAATTGAATCCAGAAAAGATTGAACTGCTGTTGATTTAGGATTCTTTCAGCTTAAATTAAAGTCTTCAACCTGAACAGAGTGACCAGGATTTTGGTAGGACCAAAGTGGTCAGCTCAAAATTGTCTTAAATTAAATCAGGTTATGGGTTCACCTAGTTCAGACTTGTTGAAAATGATTCGCACTCTCCAAAAATTCAGGTTCCTAGCCCTAACTGGAGATATCCAGAATTGCATCTAGGCCTTCTACCTGCAAAAATATATATTCTATTATACTGTGTAACTTTGAAAAAAAATTCTGTTCCTGGTTTAGAAGTGTTATTTCCTGTTTGCTTGTGTGATACTTACTTTGAAAGTACAGTAGAGTCTCGCTTATCCGACCTTCCTTTATCCGACCTTTGCTTATCCGACATTCCATCTTATCTGACATTCTCCTTTTCTTCCAGCATTTCCCCTTCAATTAAAGGAGTTCTTCCCAACTCTCTCTCCATTCCCAATAAGTGAAAAAGGCAAGAAGATGGGACAAAAAAGGAAATAAGTTTTTACTTGAGATTTTTAATTAGGATGGATTGTCTGTAAAATAAGTGTAGAAAGCTACAATGAGTCTTTGATTAAGTATATCAGTAAAGTTTAATGGGATTAATAGTATATTTTGGTAAAATTTATTTTGTAAAAATTAATTAGATGTTTTTAAAATGATTTTTATAATTATAGGAGGATAGTAGCTAATAGATGGGAGAGGTATAAATTTATCATATGTTTAACTACTGAAAAGGAAATGGGAAGTCACTTTTCTCTCTCTCTTTTGCTCTTTCCTTTTTTCTTTTATCATTTTTATCTTCTTCCTTTTTTCTTCCTCTTTGTTGTTTTTCTTTGTTTGATGTATATTTTTTAATTTTTTAAAAAATCTGCAATTTTTAAACCAATTTACTCCCAATAAGTGTGTACAGAATGAAATGTTAGGGCATTTAATAAATCCAAGGTCCTAACATAGCTAATTGCTACTTGCATTTAATTTATTTTGTTGCAATGAAACTATTTGGATTTACTTCTTAATACATATATTTAGAGCTGAACTGGATACACATACATAGACTGCATGGCTGAATACACATTCAATTTATAAAATGACCAGGCTTAATGATTTTTTTTTTTTAGTTGGACTTAGGCTATCCTTTCCACAATGCATAATAATTTTAATCACATGTAATTAGACATACTTCAATTTGAAAATCTTATTTTCCACAGAGGCCACATTACCAGTTCAGGTGGACCTGTAAGAGTACAAATGTTACCTGGGCGAGAGGACTATTCAGCAGTATATGCCAATGGAATCCAGTCTCAAGTGCTTTCTAGATGGTCATCATCATTCACAGTATCTAGTAAGAAAATGACAAACTCTCATTATTTCATCAAATTACTTGGCAATCTATATAAAAAGAACTAGATTTGCTTTATATTTTTCTCATGGCTTTATGTCCTTTTTTTTCTTAGTAACACCAAGCTCATCCTTTTGTTTGATGTAATGAAAATTTCAGACAAATTTAGAACGGAAAATAAAATTAATCAAATGCTGCTGTGTCAAAGCAAAGTGTCTCCCTTTTAAAGCTTTAGTGAGAAATACAGGCAAGAAAATATGCAGCTGTCAAAACACAGGCTGTTGCTTTGTTTTTAGAAAAACAGGTGCCAGAAACAACACATACATTTCTGGGCAGTTAGGTTACAAATAGTGTGAAAAATCACTTGGAAGCCACCAGCATAATAAGCCTTCTACTCCATACTGCATGAATGTATCCATTAAATGTTAGTTTTAGATTCTTATTTCAGGTATTAGGTAGCCCACATTCAGTGCATCTGAAGAAATGGGTTGATATACCCAAAAGCTCATGCTGAAATAAATAAGTTAGTATTAAAGATGCTGTTAGATTCCTTCCCCTTGGTACTCCTTTTCATTTTTATGCATTCTGAATGACCTTTCTCAACTTCATTGCTTTTGTTTGTGTGATCTTTGATGATAGGATTGTGGGGGAGTGCGGTTTGATGATACATTAGCAAAACAGCTAGTAACAGAGCAAGACTATGGGAAAGAATAGGGAAAGAGCAACTTTCCTGCCCGCAAATAAGGAACATCGCTTATTATACAGGGCATTTGGCAAGCCAATTCTGGAAGAACTGTCAGTTCCTAGGTTGTACCAGCCATGGCAAAAAATAAAGGGCTTATCCTAATGTCCTTTTCCCCTGCCGGTTTGTGTCTCTCTTCCATTCGTTCCAACAGGATTGTAGGGATCTGTGAGAGCTTATATCTCTCAAGCACAATAATTGAATTAGCAAAGCAGAAGATGAACAACAATGCACCCACACACCGAGGGGGAGAGAGAGAGACTTTTTTTTTGTAAAAATACAAGTGTAGCTTATTATCCATGTTCATAATCAAATGCTAGGTCTATGAGAGGAAAGAGATCAAAGGAAAAATCACTGGAATATCCAGGGTTCCACAAAGCAAGAAATAAATTTAGTTTTCTCTGGGTTGCTGTGAGTTTTCCTGGCTGTATGGCCATGTTCCAGAAGCATTCTCTCCTTTCATTTTGCCTAAAACCATGGCAGACATCCTCAGTCTGTTGCCTAGTTTTACTTGCCTACTTTCCAACAGACCTCACAACCTCTGAGGATGTCTGCCATAGATGTGGACGGAACGTCAGGAGAGAATGCTTCTGGAACAGGGCCATACAGCCCAAAAAACTCACAGCAACCCAGTTATTCCGGACATGAAAACTTTTGATAACACATTAGTCTTCTTTGTAAAATATATACATGTAGTTTTACTTATTATCATTGTTTGTAATCACATAGAAGTTTTGTGAGCGGAGTAAAGGAAAATGTCTGCAAGTTAAGGTTATGGTGGAAAATATTGGATGTATAAAAGAAAGTCTCCAAAAAAAAAGCAATTACTGAATATCGGCATACAGAGATTGCTAACACAACACAAACACAGCTATGCCAGTTCAAGGACAGACATTGTTTTCCCACCATTCCAAGCATGTGTCATCGAACACAAGGAAGGCTTTGAAGCTATCCAAATGCTCCCCTGGTCTATCTGGACATGTCCTGTCACATATCATCTCCCTATCCATGCCCCTTACCACAGCTGGAGAAATGATGTTTAGCAACAAACCACACTAAATTTTTCTATCATCAGTCAGGTGAAGATTCTCCACAGTTCACCTCCTCATCTGAGGTGAAAATGGACTATATCCTATGCTTTGGAATCATAGAATTGCATGCTCGATCCTTCTAGTTCATTTGTAAGTTGTACATCAGCAATCCCACTGTAAAGTAAATTAGATTTTTAAACTTTTTAAAAAGCAGGACTCCATGCAAGATCCTACATTAAGAGGCATAGCTGTAACATAGGAGTTCTATTATCATATTAGCAATGCCTCCCAATGTGACCTGTAAAATGCATCTTGAAACAACAGAATAACAGCAGCTGCTTCCTGGTAAAGCAAAAATTGGTGTGTTTGTGCATGTGCTAGTAATGCTACTTAGTTACATATACTATATATTGACTAAGTAGATCAGTGGTTCCCAACCTTTTGTCCTCCGGATGTTTTGGACTTCAACTCCCACAATTCCTTACAGCCGGTAAGCTGGCTGAGATTTCTGGGAGCTGAAGTCCAAAACACCTGGAAGACCAAAGATTGGGAACCACTGGCCTAAACTGACTGACTTTCAGGAGAATTTTATTCTATCTATAGAAGGTTGGGAGCTACTGAAGTAGATGATCTAAGATTTTAGCCATTTAATTTATTTAAGTTCTGCCTTCATCTTGACACCAGGCAACAAAGCACGATGTTCTAAAATAGCTTAGAACACATTGAAGCATAATAAAAGAAAAAGAGTTTAGCATGCTACATTGAAAGACCCTTCTGCTGAAGTCAAGATCTAAACACCTGCCTAAATACAGGTCTTAGCCTGATGACAGAAAGAGAGCGGAGTGGGGTCCAAGTGCCTATCCTATGGAAGGGAGTTCAAGGGAGCAACCCTTGGGAAGGCTCTGTTCAACTGATATGTTTTTATTGTTTATGACTTTATGCTACTGTATCTTGACAACATGGCCATCATCTCCAGTGAGGAATAGTTTGTGTCCATGTTGGATCCAAGTATATTTGACTTCAGTGTCTTTTAGGACACATGAAAGAGAAAAGGAACTGGAGGGGGAAATATTCTAGAAAGACTACTCAAAGTTCAATCCTTGACCCATAGCAAAGTTGGATTTTTTTTTACTTTTGGGAGAAAATAGAGCTCCTAGAATTCCCTAACTGTCACAACTAGTGAGTTCTAGGAGCTGTCATTTGAAAAATGATTTTCTAAACAACCAGAAGCTTTTACAAGTAGATTTTTTTTCTTTTGGCAACAATGCAAGAGGGCCACGCTGTTATCAGCACAGAGAGTACTAGAACATTGAGAAAAGGGGTAATCTTAGATCTAACCAGCTCACATTTTAGCCTGTCTGGAATTTGTCTTTCGCTGGGGAAAATGAGGACATACAGTGCATTTTGGCAAAGCATAATTTTACAGCAATGTAATAAATTTGGTTTACTTTTAAATTTGATAACAGGTATCAAAAGTGGAGCACTGGAAGCAGCTGCAAGGCCCATTTCAACAGTACGCCCATCCATGGGTAAGATGCTTATTTCAAAATATATTATTTCTACTTAAGGGTTTCTTATAAATCTTTGAGTAGTTATAAATCTTTGAGTAGTTATGCAGTGGGTGCCCTGTATTTAACTGTGATATTAAAAATGATCAAGAATATATTTTTTTAAATAGGAAAGGAATTTACTTCACCAGCTCACTCTTTTGCTGTGTATATGACATTATAAACTAGTAATGATCCTTAAAAGACACACAATACTTGGGGGGGGGGGGAATTAGCATGGATCCATGATGGCTGATAGTCTCTCAGTGAGGCAGTAAATTCACTTTATTCAAGGTGCAAAACCTTTTTGCGGCTCTATCAGAATTCAGATTTAAGCCAGGAGCTGATAGTAAAGAGGAAGATATCATATGGTGCTGAGCTGTTTTCCTTAATTGGGGGCCCTTCCACACAGCCCTGTATCCCAGAATATCAAGGCAGAAAATCCCACAATATCTACTTTGAACTGGGTTATCTGAGTCCACACTGCCATATATTCCAGTTCAAAGCAGATCATTTGAGATTTTATTCAGCTTTGTGGAAGGGGCCCTAGTATTTTTCAAGTGGGTTGGGGCTTCTAACTCTCATTGTGCATATTCTATTGCACATACTGACTAAAGATGAAAGTTGTAGTCTGATTCCAACTCAACTGAATGTTATTATGCTGGGGGGAAAACTTGTGTAGTAGGTTTCGTAGATTAAAACTGTTGGCTATTCACCTACTAAATTGTGAAACTTTCACTCTGGACAAACCCTGTAATTTTAAAGCATGGCATACTTCATATGCCCATTGTGAGACAATACTGAGAATATTCCCTGTATTCTGAAACTCTATAAAAAGAAGACAGGATAAAATTGTTATTCCAAACCAGCTGACAACATGTAGCTTCATTTAGCTTCATTTCAAGACACATTATTTTTGTTTGGTGCAATTTGTTTCTTTACATATGTCTTTGTTTGTTTGCCTGTGTGATGGTAGATTTGCTTATTTGAATAAAAAATAAATTTTAAAAAGATGCATTTTTGTCCAGATTTCTTAATCCTTTGTGTTTCCCATTTTTCAGGTAAAAAACCCAAAAAGACTATTGAGAAAAAGTCTGGCAACAAAGGTAGGAGATTGCAAAGCCTTGCCACATGAAACAGATCTCTTGTGTTAATTTGCCCTTTAATTTAACCTAATTATCTTGGGTATTCACAGACTGTAAAGCGGATATTGCTTTTCTGATTGATGGAAGCTACAATATTGGGCAGCGTAGATTTAATTTGCAGAAGAACTTTGTTGGGAAAGTAGCGATGATGCTGGGAATTGGAACTGAAGGACCACATGTGGGAGTTGTGCAAGCCAGGTACTAGAAACATGTCTTATTTGGTACATTTCTCCTTTTTGGGTGCATTTATGAAATATTGTTTTGAGAGTAGGCATGATATAACTGAAACCTTGCTGTAGTCTTCATATTTGTTGTTCTAGTTTGAATCATGTTCACACTGTCTAATGATATCCGACAGCTCCTTCCCAAACCTGGTAACATGTTAGGATAAAATGAAATGCGAAAAGAAAGCACAACAGCATAAATTGGTGTGTTGAAGTTTGTTTAATGCAATAATATGACTGCTGATTGTAACCCTGAGAGAATAGTGATAGCCATCTATTATTAATCCCACAAATTTAGTTACCAGCATCATATACTTAACAAAGATGCTTGTCATGTTGTTGTCTATCACATGTCTGTACTTACAAATAATTCTAACCTCCTAGCAGTGTATTATTAGAGGGTAGGTTTTGGGAAAGATCAGCTTAAAGCATGTAGTGTTGGATAGAGCTTGTGGCAGGAGGAATAATATTTTGGACTATAACTTTCTCAAACCATTCAGCTTTTTATCCTGTGCATAAAAAACCCCTTAACAATAACCCTAACAATAAATAAATAAAAATACCCGAAAATAGAAGGCCAAATCCTGTGAAACAGAGAAACAGGCATTGTTATGTATTTTGCTTGCAAAGAGGATATACTGGCGAGCCTAACCTGACTATTTTACAGGTCACTTATCCATCTACATGGGGTGATTAGGAGCTCATAGAAACATAGGATTGGAAGGAGACCACAAGGACCACCCTGTCTAATCCCTTGCCATGCAGCACTCATGATAAATAGTCATCCAGATTCTATTTAAAGCCCTCAAAAATAAGGAGACACCATCGAACTCTTAGGGAATGTATTCTGCTGGGGAACAGATCTTACAAGCAAAATGTTCTTCCTAACGTTTAGATCAGTGGTTCCCAACCCTTTTTTGACCAGGGACCACTTTGACCAGGGGCCACTCTCCAACATTAGTACCAAAAGTATTATGAATCAGTTTTTGGTCAACTTCAGATACGGTTTGGTTATTTGAGGTGCTGATTCAGAAAATTGCATTGGATAAACCACATTAGCTCTAGTCTCTGATTCAAAACATATGCCATCCAATAGTCACCATCTGCTTGCCCACAGAAAACCATATTTAATAATATAGAGCTGATGTGGTCTATCCAGTGCAATTTTCTGAATCAGCACTTCAAATAATACCAGGGACTGGCCTAAAAATGAAGACACTAAGAAAAAACATTGTTTTTTGGGGCGGTACTATTATCTGTAGTAGTAATGGTGAGGCCGCAGAACATATTTTAGTGCTTGCAGGCCACTGGAGGTCCAAGGACCACAGGTTGGGAGCCACTGGTTTAGATGGAAACTCTTTTCCTGTAGTTTGAATCCATTACTCTGTCCTAATAATTGGAGCAGCTGAAAAATCAATATGTTCCCTCTTTTATTTGTGGCATTCTTTAAAATATTTTAAAATAGCTGTCATGTCACTTCTCAAATTTTTCCTTCTCCAGGCTAAATATACCCAGGTCCTTAAGTCATTCCTCATGGGTCATGGTTTCTAGACTCTTGTCTAAGAAACCTCATGCTCTATGGGCTCAAGTTACTGGACCTTCTATTCCAATATGGCCACCAACTTTCACTTGGTGCATGTTTATATATCCAAAGCCTCTAGCAAGAACGCAAGCATAGCTGTTGCAGGAGCTTCAACAACTCCCTCATCATCCATATTCTGTAATCTTAAGGTGGTGGTGAAACAGAATTCTGAGCCCTAAAGTTTCTGGATATAAATGTTTAAGGTACAACTTAATTCAAAAACATTCTTAACAATATAATGCTTTGAAATTTAAAGTAGCATGGAGGGGAAGCTGTTTTAGTCATAAAGATCCTAGAAAGCTGACTTCTATTAGGTCAAGTAATTTTCACTGAACCTGGTAACTTCTGTACTCAAAGTTATTGGCTCTTCCCCAGTCTGAAAACAATACTTCACTCTACAGTGGATTTTTTTCTGACTTCTTCATCTGGCATTATGTGATGGCAGTTTTCCAGTGCTGTAACTTCTCTGGTAATTATTTCTAGAATAAATGAAGAAAAAAACATATAAATCTTTTTTTAAATTTTCCTCCTCTGAAAGTTGAACCATCTGTGAAATTCAGAAGTGGAAATTCCTTTGCTACTTGCCTCAAAATGTTTTTACTGGAGGATGATTTTTTCCCCCTCTGTATTCAGTACATGTCAACAAAACAATGACGGTTACTGTCTGAATGAAACAGAGAAAAGCAGACTTTAAAAATACTTATAAAAGAATAAAACATCTGGAAGAATTTATACTGCTTGTTACTAAGTTGATGATGAGTTACCCCAAATGTTTCAATCACCAAAGGATTATTCCAATTATATTTGTTGACTACACTAACATGGCAAGTGTTTCATCCAAGAGTATTAGTGTCATCTGGACTCTAAAAATGAGTAATTCTTTTGAAAACTTTTGCAGAGCCAATAATAGCTTTTGTGTTAAAGTCCTGACGGTGGAAAAATGCTTAAAAGAGATTACGGCAGGGCAAAACATAAATTGAAAATAATGGTTCTGGAATTAGTTAAGTTGTGTCTCTGACAGATTGCCAATAAATAGAGTCATTCTGTTACTGAATAGTACTGATAGCAAAAACAGAGGTAGAGATCTCCACAGGTGTTTGGAAACAGTTTATTACAATAATCCCAATGCATTTTAAGTATGAATAATTGCTTAAGGAAACAGCACGGAAATTGATAGGAGCAAATTCTCACAATCAAAAAATTAATATATATATATCCGATGCTTGCTCTGAGTCCCTCCTGGGGTGAGAAGGGCGGTTTATAACTATGGTAAATAAATAAATAAAATATGATAATTTCTGTCAATTTATTTTGTAATCAAATTCATATGAAATAACTACTTATTTAAAAATGGTCTTCAAGATCTGTTATGAATGTGCAGCTTCTCATTTCAATACGCAGTTTTCTACACATTTTCTAAATTCTTTTCTTAGGCCACCATATTTTATCTTCAGTGTTAGCTGGGGGTTCCCATATTAGTGGGGCAGTGAACTAGCTATGGTTTAGTCGTTGCTTCCAAGGAGTTATCCAAAGTGTTCAACCCCATCCTCATTGGATAGCTCTTTTTAAGTTCTGCCTAAAACATGGATTGGATTCAACAGTCCACAGATAAGACAGCCACTCCTGAGTGACATCCATCAAAATTTCCTCTGTTTTGCTTGTTGAAGAGGCATTTTCTTGGTTGTAGAATAATAGTAACCTGATTATTCACAAGAAGTTAAATCTTCAGTTTTCCATGTTGGTGCCAGATTTCTTGAAAGTTGCCTTGTTTCTTTTTATAGCGCCCTTGATGTTTCCCAAAAGCAGAACCTGGAGGCAGGAAAGGCAGCTGAAATCATACTTTAAAAATACCTTTATGCCTCAAGTTAGTGAGGCACATTTATTCTTATTCAATCATGTAAATGGTTTATGATGTTAGTTTAGAAGCTTGAGGTTATATGTAGCTTCCCCTGTCTCGGAACTATTGTGCCCAGTAATTTTATAATAATAATCATCATCATCATCATCATCATCATCTTTATACCCCGCCACCATCTCCCCAAAGGGGACTCGGGGCGGCTTACATGAGGCCAAGCCCAACAGTACAATACAACAAAATAAAACCAAAACAACAAAACAAATATTACAATTAAATAAAAAGATAAGAATGCAATAAAACAATACAAAATAATACAATGCAGAATCAGTCCCAAAGGGCGGGCCACATGTTCGAAATAAAATGATAAAATTCAGGATGAGATAGGAATGAAAGAAAATTATTTGTATGGGAGAAGCTCATAGGAGATGGCATAATTTTACATGTTGTGCGGCTGCTGCACAGACAGTCTTTAAAGTTAGTGTAAACTTTAGTCTAACTGTTTGAACCTTTGCTATATTGAAAGCCAGGTATCACTTCTGATGTAGCAAAAGCAGAACTTATCGCTCTCTCACTTCTATAAACATGAAAAAGCTTAAGTATGTGTAAGATTTAAATTGACTGAATATTCTAATTACAGGATAGGGAATAAGTATTTCCCAATATTATGTTGAACTAACTCCCATTATTCCTCCTCACCATTGTTATGCTGGCTAGGAATGGTAGATGTTGCAATCCAATAAAATTTGGAGGGCCACAGATTTCCTGATTTGTTGGCATGAATATATTGTATAACAATGTTAATAGTATCTCTCTCATGGAAATAGTAAATATTATTAAGTTTTGATCTCAGGCCACTTGTTCTAAAAGAGTTTCCCACGAGGTTCTGGAACTGCACATCCCTTATTAAGAAGGAAATAGTTTGCTTTGGTTTAGGGAAGGTAAGGGAGGGGGCGGTTCTGTATCTATCCAGTTTTTAAAAAGGGATTTAACAAAAATGTTACAAGAAACTAGAATCTTTGCAAATTAACAGCTTAGACAGTATCACTGGAATGGCAAATCATTAATTATAGTATTTTCTGTTACACCATTACTTTGTTTTGTTGTTGTTGTTTTTTCAAATAGTGAGAATCCCAAAACGGAATTTTACCTGAAAAACTTCACTAGTGCAAAAGATGTCTTATTTGCTATAAAAGAGATTGGCTTCAAAGGAGGCAATTCCAATACAGGTGAGCATATGTAGAAAGATAAAATCCTGTTTCTAATTCCCTATCTCAAACCATTTCATTGTGAGGAGGGATTAATATGATACAACTCTGTTCATTTTCTATCTCTTAACTCTTAAATGAAGGCTTCACTTTTTGATTTAATTACACATAGGCATGTTACTTCTGCCTTCTGAAATATCCAACAAAATATACAACAAACAACAACAACAAAGTAGCTGCACAACAGAAATGAAGTAGCAGATTCGCACTGTAATGTTCTTCACAATAGAATGATACAGGTGTAGGTCCAACCTACATTTGTGTGTCACACTTTTTAGGTCATTGGAGAAATGAGGATTTTGTGCCCCCTAGGCCACTTTTCAAGCTGTTGCAGCTCTTCCCAACATTACCATTTATTGTCTGATGGAGAGCAGAGAGACACTGGAGGGAGGAAATGAAACTGATGGTGTTCCTGGGAATGGCTCCACATACATTCCCTCACTCATTTATGTTGGTGGGAGGAGGGGGAGGAAGTGGAAAGGAAGAAGGTCTCTTGTGAGTACTTGGTCACATGTGAGCAGGGGAATGAGATGGGACAGGAGGACACTAGGACTTGTTTGCTTACTCATACAGGTAGGAAGGGGAAGGGGAAGGGACAGGATGAGTATATTCATCACAGAAACAGGGAAGAGGATGACATTAGGTACATGTATTCACTCACTTGTTTGGGAGAAAGGGTGGGATGGGATGGGAGGAGGAGGGGCACGAATGTTCACTCACTATATTAAGATGGAATGGGTAACACTCTGCCCCCCCCCCGCCCCAATCCACATGGGCAAATGCATGAGTGAGCAAAGGAATGCACATGCAGCTGGGACCAGTCACCTCACCAGTAGAAGTACTTTTATATGTTAAATATGGTTTGTGGGACCTAAGTTATTCAGTATGTATTCTTTCTGGAATGAGATCTTGGATTGCACTGATAAGGTAAAGCTCCATCAGATGTAATGAAACACCCTATCCTTTCATTTACCCTTTACGTGCCCTTAATGGTGCTGCCTTCCATGACCATTTGGTAACAAGAGGAATGGTTGACCAAGCAGCTGGCCCCAGGAAAACTATGCCATCCTCCCTTCTGGAATCTGGGAGAATGTTTTTCTTCTCCTGCAGCTGAATAACAGCCAGGCACTGCCTGACCATTTTCAGTTGCTTTCTTGTTGCTGAATGTGTCCAACACCAGCAAAATAAAGTTAGAGAGAATGGGTTCAGCACAGATGTTGAAGTTGAACTCAGCCATCCACATTGGCCATAAAATACATAAGCAAGGGTAACACTCACTTGCATATGTCATCAGCAAGATTCTGGCTTTGAGCAGTAGTTAGTTATGCAATCTCTGATTAATTTCTGATATATGCATTTTGGTGCTTTCTGCAGAATAATTACTTTTTCCATTGAGTATTATTAGCTTCTAGTTTGTGTAGTCTTTATCTTAGATAAGAAAGTTGTGTTTTAATAACAACAAAAGCTGATTAACTGAAAGAAATACTTTAAACTTTTCTTCTATATCAGGAAAAGCCTTAAAACAAACAGTACAAAAATTCTTTTCTCCTGAAAATGGAGTACGGAAAGGTATTCCCAGAGTCATCGTAGTTTTCATAGATGGCTGGCCGTCCGATGATATGGAACATGCTGGTATACTGGCCAGAGAATTTGGCATTAATGTATTCATTGTGTCAATTGCAAAACCTGCACCTGAAGAGCTTGGAATGGTTCAAGATCTTGGCTTTATTGAGAAGGTAATTTCTGAAAATTCCCAATTTCATATGAATACTCTATCGCAGTAGAGGGCAGTTCTTTAGATTTATGATAAAAATCTTCATTGAAATATGAGAAACCTTTAAATCCTACTTTCTGACAAGTACTCATGAAAAGGGAAAGCATGTCCATTAAATGCTTTAAGAGACAAAGGCTTAGGGAAAGAAAGGTTACAAGATAGTGATGGCATGCAATAGACATCACTAGTGAATGAATCTCCACTAGGTACCTGTGATAACATTAGATACAGCAATTACAATGGCCACAGATAGGCTGTCCAAGGAAAGGAAAGCATTTTTCCAAGTACTGAATATTGTCATTTTGAGTACTGGGCTTTATAAAATGAATATTCAATCACAAGGGAGAATGATGACGGTGATGCATCACAAATGAGTGTTTATTGTATCACTCCCCCAACTGAATTCATAGAAAGGATTAGTTAAAATCATTCATTCATCAGAGGTGCCAAAAACTATTCATTTTTTGTTTTTGTTTTATTTTTAAACAGGCTGTTTGTTTAAATAATGGCTTCTTTTCTTACAACATACCAACTTGGTTTGGTACTACAAAATACGTGAAGCCACTGGTTCAAAAACTTTGTGCTCATGAGCATATGCTGTGCAGCAAAACGTGCTACAATTCGGTCAACGTCGCCTTCCTGATAGATGGTTCCAGCAGTGTTGGCGACAGCAACTTTCGTCTTATGCTTGAATTCATCAGTAATGTCGCTAAATCATTTGAGATCACAGACATTGGTGCCAAAATTGCGGCTATCCAGTTCACGTATGATCAACGCACAGAGTTCAGTTTTACAGACTACATCACAAAAGAAAGTGTTCTTTCTGCTATCCGTGGAATCCGCTACATGAGCGGTGGCACTGCTACTGGAGAAGCCATTAGTCATACTGCCAGAAATGTGTTTGGACCAGTGAGAGATGGAGCCAACAAAAATTTCCTGGTGATTTTGACTGATGGCCAATCTTATGATGACGTCCGGGGACCTGCAGTAGCTGCACAGCAAGCAGGTATACAGATGGACACTGTCTCTGACTGTAGAAATAAATAAATGTTGTTTATTATTTCCAGGGCCTAGAATTGTCTAGACTATGTTTCACATGAACTCTTCCCAATTGGGGGCTGAAGAAACAGCCATAGGCCATATTTCAGTTTAAAAAGCTGCTCTTGGGCCATCACTTGAACAAAAAAAAATCAAGAAAAGACTTAAATGGTCCCAGAAAGTTAGTAAGAGTAAAATAACGTAACTTTTCATTCTTCATGGGCATAGTGCAGTTGGAAAGCATTCAGACACCTTGGGGGAGCCAAAAATTGCAATCTCTGATTTACACCCCTCTCTCTCTGCCCCAGTTAATCCCAGAGAGCTAATATAAAGATGTAGACTTTAAAACAGGAATAGATAACTGAGGCTCTCAAGATGTTGTCTTAGGTTTCAGTTCCCATGAGACCTAGTGAGGAATTATAGAAATTGCAGTCCAAAAACGTCTGGAAGGTTGAAGTTGTTTACTTCTCCTGTAACACCAGTAAATGTGGTTTAATGTAAGGAGAAGCAAATGCAAGAATTGTTCCATGTCATATTTAGTAGCTGTTGGGACACATTATTTTCGATCCAGAGCTTTAAAACAATTTCTACTATATTGTATGCCCACTTGCCTATATGTTTCGGATACCATAATAATTAAGTCTGCTTCAGAATTCAACATATTTTCTTTCTCATGCTGTATCATCAGTCTGTGAACTATAAGTGGAACTAGTCGTGTAACATTATCTCACAACAAGTAATAAAAGTTCTGACAACCTCTTTACTCTTATGCACTATGTAGAGCAGTGGCTCCCAACCTGTGGCCATGAACCACCAGTGGATCGCAGGAACTAAAATACGGTCCACCGCCTCACCATTATTACACGGTTGCAATGAGAGTTACTGGTCTCATGAAACCTTCTTGTAGTGCCAAGGCTTATGAAATATTGTTTTTTGTTAGTGAGCAGATGGTGACTATTGGGTGGCATACATTCTGTATCAGAAACTAGAGATGATGTGGTCTATCCAATGCAATTGGATAGAATCAGCACCCCAAATAAACAAACCAAATCTAAAGTTAACCAAAAACTGATTTGTAACCCTTTTGGTACTAAGGTTTGATTGTGGTCCCTGGTCAAAAAAGTTTGGGAACCACTGATGTAGAGCAATACTTTGGCTACAGAACTTCAAAGTAATGTGTCTCAATTAACCATACTATCTGTAGCATGTTAGTCATGGAGTTGTCAAGGACTGGTTAATGCTACTTAAAATATTTGGTAACCTTTTCAGTGTAAACGATTAACTTTTACTTGCTACTCTTAAAATGTTTTAAACAAATGTTTAATTGTTGCTGTGCAGTCTATGTATTTTTAGTGAGTTTTTTAATGTTCAGAAATTATCATCTTCGGAATCAACAGCTGACACTATTTTTCTAATGCTCATTTTATCACTTAGAACAATCTAGAAAGTTTCTTTTTTTTCCCCTGAATTTTACACAGGCCTTTAAGTGTACTTTCTTGGCAAATTTGTTGTAGGTATCACCATCTTCTCTATTGGGGTTGCTTGGGCTCCACTGGATGATTTAAAAGACATGGCATCTGCACCTAAGGAGACACACACCTTCTTCACAAGAGAATTTACAGGACTGGAGCAGATTGTTCCTGATGTTGTTCGAGCCATTTGCAGGGATTTCCTGGAGTCCAAACAGTGAATGAAAAGTTGAAATACATTACTCTGCAAACATGCTCCAGGAGAAACCAAAGAGGTGTCTTTGAGTGTAAAGCGTTTTGTTAATCTAGCATTATGTTGGAAGTGTATGAGATTACTTAAAAACAACTGATTTTTTAAAGGCAAAATAGCTATTGAAGTCAGCAAAAGTTTTGCAAGAATAAGTAATCATTAAAAATGGCCTCAAATTATCATGGTCCATGTATATTTAATATTCTTCAGTTAAAGTGATTGGGATCCTATAATTAAGATTATCCAATGTGTATTTTATGTATATAGAGATAATATAGAGCTACTCTTAACATTAAATGACATTACTGAGTCTCATCACATATTAAGCAAATAATAATCTTGAATAGTTTGCCAAGTGGGAAAATGCTACAGAATGCTGTCATCTGTGGTCACAAGAGAGTTGGGTAAATGCAGACTTATTAAGATATTTTCAGCATTACATTTTATAAAAGTAAAGCTGTTGTATACCACCTGCCAATCAGTTAACTGATGGTTCTTAGTTTCATTCTTTCGAACTATTTTATGGAAAGTAGGTGAAAAGACCATTCATCAATTATGCTCTGCTATTTTACATGGAGCCCATCAATCAGGCTACAACTGGATCATGGATTTTGGTGCGTATTCATGTCAGGACTGACTCATACTGTTAAATAATTTCTTAATTTTAAAAAATGCTAAAATTTTGCTTCACAATTGCATACACTGAACTCAATCCGATAGTTAGCCTCAAGTAGTGAGTGAGGCTTGTCAAGTTAATTCTCATATTCAGTTGATGGAGTGAATCTTCCCTAGCTCGGACTAATAATTGGATTTAGTACACTGATGTATTCAAACTTTTGAAAATATTACATATAAATATTTTGCAGGACTACTTGCTCTTAAATTGTGTTTGTCTAACTGACTTTAATGAAATGAAATTTAAATCTTGGTTTGCAATATTAAATGACCAGTGTGACTAGGCTATAAACCAGGTGTGGGCAAACTTTGGCCCTCCAGGTGTTTTGAACTCCAACTCCCACAGTTCCTAACAGCCCCGGGCCCCTTCCTTTTTCCCCACAACTGCTTAAGCGGCTGAGGAGGAAAAGGAAAGGGCCTGAAGCTGTTAGGAATTGTGAGAGTTGAAGACCAAAACACCTGAAGGGCCCAAGTTTGTCCATGCCAGCTATAAACCAAAGTTAACACTAAAATCAAATAAGAGAAAATGGGCGTCCTCCTGCAGCTTCCAAACAATTATAAAAAGTGCAAAAGGAATAAATATTATTTTGGCTTTTAATAGTATTTTTGATAATAATTTATGATTGTTGATATACTAATCTAAATATGTTTTTCTTTGATATTACCGTGCTAATTTTCCAGAGTGTTATGTAGCATATGAATCAATGAGGTATTCAAGAAAACTTCATTCAGATTTTACACAGTTTTTTGATATGGAAATGCACATTGATTAACAGCTGTTTTTCTATGATGAGGGTTTTTTAATCAACTCTGAAACTATAATACTGTGTTTAGTCCATAAAGCAATACTTAAAAGGCAATAATTAATATAATTAATTGCTGAATCCTCATGAGAAGCAAAGAAAAATTATGCTACCTTTCTTTGAAAGCTTTATAAAATGTCTAGTATCACATGTACTAGTGAAATTTCACTTCACACTCTATCATGTTATCATCTCTACAATTTACAATTTGCACAATTAATTGTAAAATTAATAAATTTATTTACTATTTCATTCACATATTCAGAGTTCTATTCATGAATCTAACTGTCCTAAAGGTTTCTTTCCCATATAGTTCAACTACCGTGGATCTGAAGAAATCAGCTGTATTTTTCTGCTGAGAGCACTCTTCCCTCTTTCCACTATGTATGCCCTTCAAAATCTGCTCCAAAAGGTTGTGTATTCCCCTTTAAGGTTAAACATATAAACATGGGGAAAGAGCTGTAAAGGCTCCTGGAACTGAAGACGTTGTTGACATACGACACCGCATAACCTTATGCTATAATAAATGTTAAAGGTACTGTAGAAGCATTTGTCATCAGGTGCTATATGAATACAAAACGTTTTTCCATTTTCTAAATGAAAGTTCTTTTCAAAAATCCACTTTCTACTCATTGGTTTTAGGGAAAATTTATTTTATATATACCGTATATACTCGAGTATAAGCCAACCTGAATATAAGCCAAGGCATCTAATTTTACCACTAAAAACTGGGAAAACGTATTGACTTGAGTATAAGCCGGGGGTGGGAAATGCAGCAGCTACCGGTAAATTTCAAAATAAAAATTGATAGCAATAAAATTACATTACTGAAGGCATCAGGTTAAATATTTTTTAATATTTACATGTAACTGTAATTTAAAATAAGACTGTCCAACTCTGATTAAACCATTATTCTAATGTTCTTCAATATAAATGTTATTGCGTATCCTTCCAATCATAATAAAGAGAGTAAAATAATAAATAATAAATAATAAAAAGAGTAAAATAATGTAATAAAAATAATAGAGTAAAATGTAACGATGATGATAATAATAATAATAGAGTAAAATAATAAATGTAATAATAATAAATAACCTTGACTCGAGTATAAGACGAGGGGAGCTTTTTCAGCCTTAAAAAGGGCTGAAAAACAAGGCTTATGCTCGAGTATATACGGTATGTGCCCTCTGCCCCCAGTCATGATGAAAATGGACTTAGAAGGGAGTGACTGAGAGAGGGACAGACATTGGGTGAGTTACCTAGAAGTCTAGTAAGCTTGGTGTTATTTTTTAAAAACATTCTTTTTCAAAGGAATGAGATGCTGTGCTCATTGGGTAATCTATGTTGTTTTTTTTGAATATTTGTTATTTTATTGAATTTTAATATTTGAGTTTCTCACTGGGGCGCACACACCCCATGTTCTATATCTCAATTGGATGTAAGTGGATCAAATGAGTGGAGATGGATCCAGGCACTAAGCCTGACTGGGATGGATGGGGTATAAGGGGATTGGATGGATAGAAGGTGGATCGGGCCCTGAGCCTTACTCAGTATATCATTGATGTGATGTAGTTAGATCAGATGGCAGGAGACAGGATGAAAGAGGTTCATCCGTCTATAGTCAGTTAGTTTAGGCCAGTGGTTCCCAATCTTGGTTCTTCCAGGTGTTTTGAATTTCAACTCCCAGAAATCCCAACCAGCTTACCAACTGTTAGGAATTGTGGGAGCCAAAGTCCAAAACCCTTGGAAGACCACTGGAGGAGAGAGGAGGGGGTTAATCAGCCTACTCATCCAATGGGAGTGCAAAGTGTGGGGTAAGACTGAAAGGAAACCAAGAAAGACTGTCAATTGATAAGTTTATAAATGCCAGGAAGAAGAAAAGGATGCAGCCCCTGTGATTATGTGACCCAAAATAATCCTAACTCATGTATACATGGACATGTTAGAAATGCCCTTTTGTACAAACTGATCTCAGGGGGGGATTTGGTTTTCACAGCCAAGTTGCATTTGGTTTTAAATGCGTGAGTGTGACCTAAGCGGGCTCCAACCAGGAGATGGGTAATTTATTTATTTATTTATTTTATTTATTTACTTCATTTGTTGACCGCCGCTCTCAGCCCTAAGGCGACTCGCGGCGGTGTACAACACGTAAAAAAACAGTCTACAAAACATACAGTATAACAACAGTCAAATCCCACATTAATCTAATCTAAATCCCACTAATAAATCCGCGCCATCATAGACTCACAGCCAATCTCGTAATCCATAGTCCGTTCCAGATGTCATTACCAGGTTCGTGTGGCTCTCAATTGAATGCCTTTTCAAATAGCCAGGTCTTTAGGCTCTTGCGAAAGGCCATAAGGGAGGGCGCCTGTCTGATGTTAACAGGGAGGGAGTTCCACAGCCGGGGGGCCACCACTGAGAAGGCCCTCTCTCTCGTCCCCGCCAGACGTGCCTGTGAGGCAGGCGGGATCGAGAGAAGGGCCTCCCCAGAAGATCTCAAGGCCCTCGTGGGCTCATAGGCCGAGATGCGGTCCGAAAGGTATTTTGGGCCGGAACCGTTTAGGGCTTTGTAGGATAATACCAACACCTTGAATTGGGCCCGGTAGCAGATCGGCAGCCAGTGGAGCTGGGACAACAAGGGCGTTGTGTGCTCCCTGCGTCCTGCTCCTGTTAGTAACATGGCTGCCGCGCGCTGGACTAGCTGAAGCTTCCGGGCCGTCTTCAGGGGTAGCCCCACGTAGAGAGCATTGCAGTAGTCAAGGCGGGATGTGACCAGAGCGTGTACCACCGTGGCCAAGTCAGACTTCCCAAGATACGGGCGCAGCTGGCGCACGAGCCGAAGCTGTGCAAATGCTCCCCTGGTCACCCCTGATACCTGGAGATCCAGGCTCAAAGATGAATCCAGGGTCACACCCAAGCTGCGAACCTGCGCCTTCAAGGGGAGTGCGACCCCGTCCAGCACAGGCTGTAACCCTATACCCTGTTCGGCCTTGCGACTGACCAGGAGTACCTCTGTCTTGTCTGGATTTAATTTCAGCTTGTTCGCCCTCATCCAGACCGTTACAGCGGCCAGGCACCGGTTCAGGACCTCGACAGCCTCCTTAGTAGCAGGTGGAAAGGAGTGACAGAGTTGGACATCATCTGCGTACGGATGACACCGCACCCCGAAACTCCGGATGATCTCACCCAGCGGCTTCATGTAGATATTAAACAGCATGGGGGACAGTATAGAGCCCTGTGGAACCCCACAGGTCAAAGGCTGTGGTGTTGAACAGGAGTCCCCCAATAACACCTTCTGGGTGCGACCCTCCAGAAATGACTGGAGCCACTGCAAAGCAGTGCCCCCAAGACCCATTTCCGCAAGGCGCCCCAAAAGGATACCGTGGTCGACGGTATCGAAGGCCGCTGAGAGGTCCAGGAGCACCAACAGGGACACACTCCCCCTGTCTAGCTCCCGGCGCAGATCATCCACTAAGGCGACCAAGACCGTCTCGGTACCATGTCCCGGTCTGAAACCAGACTGTGCCGGATCCAGAATATCCGTGTCTCTCAAGAATACCTGGAGTTGTGAGGCCACCACGCTTTCCATGACTTTGCCCAAAAAGGGAAGATTGGAAACAGGCCGAAAGTTGTCAAATTTAGTGGGGTCCAGTGATGGTTTCTTCAACAGCGGTTTTATAATAGCCTGTTTTAGGCTCGCTGGAATCTTGCCTTCCCGAAGGGAGGCATTAACCACCACCGTTACCCACTCAGCCAATCCCCCTCTTGCCTCTTTCAGAAGCCAGGATGGACAGGGGTCTAGGATGGACGTGGTGGGTCTCATTCCTCCAAGTATCTTGTCCACATCCTCGGGTTTCACAAACTGAAAAGAATCCAATAAAATGGGACAAGCAGGTGCTCGTGTCACATCCACAGAGACTGCATTTAACATGGCGTCCAGCTCAGAACGGATCAAAGCGACTTTGTCTGCGAAGAACCGAGCAAATGCTTCACAGCGCGTGACCGAATTGTCAGGGCTCCCGCCTGAAGTGGCGGGAGTTAAAAGACCTCTGACAATCCGAAACAACTCCGCCGGACAGTTCTTTGCAGACGCAATGGAGGCTGCAAAGAAAGTTTTCTTTGCAGCTTTTATTGCCGCGGCATATGCCCTTAAAAAGGACACAAACCGTGTTCGGTTTGACTCGCTTGGGTCTGAACGCCACACGCTCTCCAGTTCCCTCTTCCTTCGCTTCATCGCTGCCAGCTCCTCAGTAAACCAAGGGGCTGGTTTAGCTCGGGTACTTGAGAGGGGACGTTCCGGAGCGATCGTGTCAATTGCCCTGGTCATCTCCCCATTCCAGAGAGCGACCAAGGCCTCGACATGGTCACCTACCGCGGAGGCGGGAAAATCCCCAAGAGCCGTCAGGAATCCATTTGGATCCATAAGCCTCCTGGGGCGGACCATCTTAGTGGGTCCTCCACCCTTGCAGAGGTTAGGGGGTGCAGTGAGCCTAAATCTGATCAGGAAGTGGTCGGTCCATGGCAACGGAGAGATAGACAACTCCTCCACACCGC